AACTCCCTTTCAGGCTGAAAGGGACTGAAAAAATTCATACCGAGAGATTCTTTTAATTCCTCTCTATATATTTTATTCTCTATGCTTTTAGCGCATCTAAACGAATATAAATTTAAAAATAATAATTTAAACTTATTAAAAACTTATTTTATCACATTTAAGGACTATAGTCCTTTTGAACATTTGTCTTAATACACATTAATCCCAAAAAAATAAATCGATCACTGGTCCAATTGATATGACACTACAAATGCGGAAAATTTAAAAACTGGTTTATCATAAGTTAAGTCTTGAGATTATGAAAAAGAGAGGATCAAGAATTAATCTCGAAATCCACCATTCTAAAGTTTTCAGCTCAGTAAAACTTATTGGATTCACGTCTCATCAAATAAAATTTAAAAAATCTTAAAAGCAAATAAAAAAACAATGCCCAACCCTATTTTCTTTTACTAATCAGGTTCATCATATTTATTCTAAAAGTTCTACTAAGCAAGATTAACAAAAATGAGGGTAAAAATCACTTTCTTAAATTTTTTCCATTTGCTTCTGTCCATTTTGCCTTAAACAAATGTAGTTGTAAATATTGTAATTTAACCTAAAAAGATGCCTTGAGATGATCTCAATAGATCTGAATCTGCCTTAATCTTGAGCTAATGTAATATACTGTTTTCTTCAGAAACTGGTGAATTTTTTAATGTGTCTGAATTTATTATTTCCGAAAACTCATTATTTTCATTTAATTATATATTTAAGGCTCATTTAAAAATGTTGGTAATATTTAAGATTAATTTTCATATATTCCATATTTATTAAAACCTGATGCTCATAATAATTCTATTTTAGTTTAGACTGTTTATTATTTATTTTGATGTTTGATTTTTTTTGTATAAATCTGGATTTTTTGTATTATTGGGGTTTTTTGGGTTCGTTTTGAAACCAACACGATATTTCTACTTTTAATAGGCTCCGTACTGTCTATATGAGAATTTCTATTATCATGTTAAAGGTCGATCAGAATAGACCGAAGTCAGTTCGAACATCAATCTGAGAAAGCTATCTGTTAGCTCCTAACTGACTATACAAAAAGGATGAGACTTTAAAGACGACCTAAAACTTCTTAACTCTGAAGATCTCGATGTTAGTTTTTGTCTTTAATTATTTGGGAAATAATGCTGGTAACATTCCGTGCAGTCGTCTCAGAAAAATGCATTAGATTTTTATAAAAAAAATATGGTTTAAAAATTAGAATAACGAATTAACGCATCGTATTTATTTTTGCTTAAATGTGTCTAATACAAGATCTAAGTAAACATTTTGCTCAATATGTAATAAAAACAAATGTTAGAGAATGCAGTTTAGAAACATCTCATATTTTTGTACAGAGAGCCTCTTAGAAGTAAAAAAATCTTAAACAAAAAACAAATGAAAAAAGATATATTTAAAAATATTTTTTTTTCGACCAGATACAAATGAACAATATTGTTTATTACTGATACAAATTTTTTTTGGCGGCCGATAAGTCATGTTGAAAAAAAACAGCTTTCTAAACGACCATGTTTCCATGTCTTCAGTCCGAAATATTAAGATTTATTTGTATCTTTTATATTCAGAATTCAAAATTTCCAGATTTAAATCTTAAATTTTGATTATCTGAGCTTTGAACTTTTAAATGGACGGACTAATTTGCGATCTTTTCAGCACATTCCATTCTCCCGCGAGGAAAGAATGGGTTTAACTAATCCCGACGTCCATTTTATAAGTTTTTAACTCAGATTCAAAATGTTATTTTGCTCAGATTTTAATGTATCCAAATTTTGCATATGCAATAATTTTACGATTTTTAACTCAGGGTGCTTAAAATCAATTATTTTCGTAAAATACGCCTTTTTGAAATCCTGCCGTAACCTTTGTATATTATAAACATGTTTTGCGGTATACGTCCATAATGTGAGCAACATTCATAGAGCAGAAAAGAGAATGCATGTCTACTCTGTTGTGCTCTATGGCTAAATTTAAAAAATATAATAAATAATCTTTCTGAAATGACGAGTTATTTTTTTCATAATTATACAGTATGAACACATTGTGAAAACAATTAAAAATAAACGTTACCAGTGATTAGATTATTGAGGAATTACACTTTCTAGAGCTGAGCTGAAAACTTTAGAATGGTGGATATCGGGATTAATGCTTGATCCTCTCTTTTTGATAATCTCAAGATTAACATAATCTTGTAAGATTATCTTAAAAGTGTATGAAAAACGATAAAATTCAAATTAATATTTAATCATCTGAGAAACTGTAGCAGCCAATCAGAGAAAAGCGGGAAACCAATGAGAGAACAGAAATATTCTCATTGGAGAAAACAATTAACGGATATCCAAGAAGAGAGAAAAAGAGTGGATTAGGACAAAAATGAAAAGTTTCCACAGTGGATGTTCGGATCAAGAAGTCAGGATTAAAGTTTATCCATTCTAAAGTTCTCAGCTCTGATATTGTCTTTTTCTTAATCTTTAGTTTGTTTCCAGGAAAGTTTCTAAAATTCTACAAATCAGGGTGGTGTGTGCGGAGCAGTGGGCGGAAACGTCATGTGTGTGTCTGTACCAAAAGAGTGTGTGTAAGGATACCGTACCAAAGGTGTGTACTGTAGTTGTTTATACAGTACATATGAATCTCTGTATTTGTACAGTCTAGGAGAGTACATTTGTTTATTGTTAATTGTTTACTTAAAAATAAGTTTAAAATGCATGAAATATATTATTTACATATTTAAGTCAACATTATAAAGCCAAATTTTCATGCAAAGAATATAACTTGATTAAATTGTTTACAATAAATATAGTCGTTATTCAAGCTTAATTATAATTGACAATATTGTTCTGCAATTTCCTTGACTGGAATCATGTTGTGTGTCTGTACCAAAAGAGTGTGTGTAAGGTTGCCGTACTGGTCTGCAAAGCAGTGCGACTGGCTTTCTCATGCCAGACCAGCGCAATTTCCTTTCCCTTTATTCCTATTCCCTGGTGCGGAGTCCCGAACAGCCAATCAGAAGCCTGGAAATTTGAAATGTTGCGCGCCATTTAATGAGAGAACTCTCATTGGTCAGAATCTAGTAGGGATATCTAAAAAGAGGGAAAAGAGCGGATTAAGCAGAAATCAGAAGGTCCACAGTGGATATTCAGATTAAGCGACCGGTATTCAGGATATGCATTGATGCAATCCTAAAGTTTACAGCTGAGTTTCGATTAAGAGGCCTAACCATTAGTTCAGTAAGCAATGCAAGAAATAGAAAATGATGAGATTATACAAAAATATTTTATAAAGTATAGATGGACATCGTTTTTAAACATTTAGGCTTGTTTGACGTTAAAAGTGTTTCACAATAATGTGAGGTATTAATTGAATTTGCGAATTTTTTTTCTCGGATCAGTGATAGCAAGCAAAACGATTTTTCACAACGAAAAACGAAATACTAATATCTATAAATAAAAAACGAAAATCGATTTTCTCGTTATTTTTGATAACACCTTTGGTCATAATATAATTTTTGCATAATGTCATAAAAGCAACCTTGTCTAGGATTATAATCTCAAATTCTTGTTAAGCCTCTTAAGTCTAAAAACTTTGAATATTTAAGAGCTAAGGATTCCCAGAAGTACCGCGAAGTATAGCCCGTATTAGAACGGAAGAATTTGTATCATGTCGAAATTGAAGTTTTTTAGTGCACGCGGATTCAACGAAATTTTCTTGCCGTGTTTGCGGATTTTTAGCGCGGGTTTGCGCTTGCTTCCCCAAATTTATTTTGCGCAAAATTGCTTCCACTGAAAACCCTAGTACATTATGACGAAACGTTTTGTAAAAAAAGGATTAAAGAAGCTGTCTGATATTTTCAAAGGTTTCTGCTCGAATCTTATAAGGTATGGGTAATTTACAAATACAAATATCTATGTTTAAAGGGACAGACCGGCTATGTATAGTAGTTAAACTGAGTATGCAGTGTTTCTCCACAACATTGCATACCCAGTTTAACTACCTTACATAGCCGGTCTGTCCCTTTAAAGTTATATTTAAAAGTGCCCACTTTGGATGTCAAAATCAAGCGTTAAGATTCACACTGCACAATATTAACACAATAGTTCCGATATCCGACTGTTCGAGAATAGAATAAACCTTCAAATGCAGGGTGTACACAACGAAACAATAAATTAATCAAATGTAATCATCTTGAGACGATCCACAAACCAATAACTCAAGTACAGGGTGTCCCGCGAAACATGACAGTTGGTGAATAGTTTTGAATGTCTTCTTCAAAAACTGTATTATGTATTGCAGACGTTTCGCAGTTTATTTCGTTGAAAAATTCTTTTATTCAAATATGTTTTACTTTGAAATCAAATTTACTATTTTATGAATGCCATATAATATTTTTTTTATTCTCTTATCAAACAACTAACAAATTATGCAAGAAGATTTAAAACTATTTACCAACCGTCATGTTTCGTGGGACACTCTGTAACTTAATAATCTACATATATTTCAAGTAGCAATCTCTGTTTGTATATCCGATCATAACTCGTAAACCCCTTGAACGATTTGCTTCAAATGCTATTGGGGAACTCGGTGGACCCATGGAAATATTCTTAACTTGGTTTAAAAATTCTTAGTGGTTTGACTTCTATAGAGAATTTTTGGTTTGCAGGCAAATATGGGTTTATAAACTAGTATTAAATAAAATGAATCGTTTTTAAATGTGCTTTATTTGTAAATAATGGTTACGTATTCAAGTTTAAAGCCTAACATTGTCGAAATATCCTATCCAATATCTGCATTTGTGAACAAATATCGTCAGAAATATTATTCTTTAAAGAAAACAGAAATTATTTCTTTTTTCTTTTAAAGTTCAAACTAAATGGATACAAAAGATTTTGGTAATAATGATAACAAGTTACATTACGGTTTACATAGGTTATAAAATTATGGCACTAAAACGTTTTTTTTCTCTCTCTCTATTATTTGAACTACAATTAAAAGCAAAAAATACTGCAAAAATGTCTAAGAGTATTGTGTGTTTAAAGAATTTTAAATAATTGATTTTTATATCTTTTTTATTTGTAAATAATACTGCGTTAATTTGGTGAAAAAGATCATGTCAAGAATAAGATGCTATTTTTGGTTCGTTTCTTCAATTAAAATGAACTGTTTGAAAAAAAAGAGTCCCACATATTTTCAAGAATAAGTGGTGAACATCCAGTTTTTTTGGTTAAACAGGTTTTTTTTAAATTCTACATTTGACCAAGCTGAAAGTAATCCGCTGGTTTAAACGTAATTTCAATTATGTAATCCTTCTATTTTCTGATTCACAATGGTACCTTTAACATTTGTAAGAGCATGATAACAATGTCTAAGATTTCTATCAACAATGGATCATTTTCAATTGTGTTTTCTCTGTATTTTAGCTGCAGAGAAGATGGAAGAAAATTGTCAGAAATCAATAGTTTTTAAGAAGACAATAATTCAATGTGTGGTGTTTACCCTTGTAAATCAGACATACCATAAATAAAGGGTCACTAAAAATCTCTCTGAAGTTATTAAAAACAGGATAATTTTTAAAATTTACTTGACACTTCACTTGGGCTTTAAAATAAATATTTTACTGTCAAGTAACAAGAATATTCGGGTTAAATATGGAATTCCTTTTTCAAATTAAAATCTGATTCTAACATATTAATTTTGTGCCTTTCTTGTACTATATTCTTTATGAAAGATATAAAAGATTATATTACGAATTGACAAAACTTTTAAGAAAATATTAATTATCTAATAAATGTTATTCTCGCTGCCAACTATAGGTTAATACTAAATTATTAAAAGCTGCAAGGAAACAAATGCCAAAAAAGTGTTAAACAAAATGTTCTGCTTTAAAACCAGGACTAAACCATGGATGAAATAATCATTGTGCTTTTTGTAGTTGAAGAATGTACGGACAATAAGCACTGGGCTGAAATGTACTGGAATATGTTTATCTATAAGTCTAAAAAAGTTTAAACGAGTATTTTTGTTTGGCACTGGTGTGAAGTGACATGCATAGAGTATATAAGGCGAAACACATTGTTTCATTTAATATCTTTTTACATAATATATAACTTTTGTACGGTAATAGTTCACATTTTTTAGAGTCTCCTGTGGGAGACGTTTTTGTGCCTCACCCTGTATCAGGAGAGAGGACAGCACTTTTTTTGATTCACACTGTCGAATTTGTTCACACGTATTATGCGGAAGAAATATTTGTATTAATGATTCATCGATTTGGAATCGATCAATCCTTGGAAGTGACGTCTTTCGAGTATTATTTACAGCGTAAAATCAGAACCAAGAGAGTTTTTTTTGGCATCTCAGGTCGACATTTTTTGTACAGGTTTGAAATGTGAGGGAAGTTCGGGGATAAAGCTGTAGCAAGGTATTTTTTGTTGAAAAAAGTAATGATATTGCTTCATGTCTGTTGGAAAAGTAGCGTCAAGATTAAAAATAAGAGATTCAAATCGTTTCACTGGTTAAAGTTATGGAACAAATATTACGTATATATAAGTAAATGTATATAATACAATTTTTGGCAAATACTAATTTTTTGTAATGAAAACGAATGATATGATTCCTCATTGATAAAACAGGCAAAAATCTCCCAAAAATTCATAAATTAAGAATTAATTACCAAAACACAGAGCACTAAATACGGAAGCACTAATCAGTTTACAAAACAGTTCTAAACTTTACTTTTAAATCGTCTTTACCAACCAAAGGATGTTTGGATAGTATAAAAGTTTAAAATACATACACGACTGCGTAAAGTGTACAATATTATGTACATAATTATATCTAGGTAAAAACCAGCGTAGTGGGTAATTTTTTCCTGGTAAACTTTGGCACGTATATTTTGAAGTTTGTATTTAAGGCTTGGATGCATGCTAGTTTAATATCAGGATAATATCTCATAACAGTTGTAAAAACTCAAGTCAAATGTGATGTGAAATAAAAAGGATTAAAATCCCAAAGATCAAACAAATCGGTAATTTAGCGAATTTTTCCCATGGACAAGTCATCGTTTTTCGTTTTTGGACGCAATGCAATCAATCGTCTTCGTTCCCGTTCGGAGACTGGGGATAGATGATCGGAAAACCCTGAACTCCTTGGAAAGGAAGCCCTGGAAAGGGACCTTGAGGAAACCCTGGAGAGTCGGGCATATCGTCTTCTTTAGGAGAACCCGAGGAAGCAGAAGGATTTGGTATAGCCTGGAAAATGGAAAGTACAAATCTATTTTATTTTAGTAAACTTGTTTAATAGAATTTTAAATGACAGCAAGCTATTTTTTTTTGACTATTTCTTATCCGATACGATGTTCAAAGATAGTATAAACCCACACACCCACATAACTAAGAACACGTATTAACTAAATTTAAAAGGTTGTAATTTCTAAATTAAATAACAATAAAATGGCGTTCATATAATTTCAAGATGGCCGAGATATTTGTCCGTGAACCTACCTGAATACTAAGTGCTCCTGAGCCCAGTGCTAAGGAGCCCTCCTTCCCTCCAGCCTCCTGCTGCATCAAGAGGTTCACCATCTCATCCTTAGTCCTCTCCTCCTGGTTCCTCAAGAGGCCGAACATATCGCTCTTCAACCTCTCCTCCGCCTGCCTCGCTTGACGAAGAGCCTCAGCTGTACCGGAGGCAAGGATTCCAGAGGCCATTTCAGATTTCAATCGATCCTAAAGGTACTGTTGTTGTAATTTTAACTGATAATCCATTTAAAGACAGACATGCCCGAATTACGAGGGTACATGTATCTGATATTTAACTAAGTATTTTTGCTAGCTTGAGTTTAACTATGTACATTTCATTCGTTGTTTATGTAGCAAAAATCCGCAAATGATTTTATAATAGAAACCACATTAGAAATAATTGAATTTCAAAGAGAAAAATTAAAATAAAAAATCTCTTCATGGATGGTTTAAATCGGACATGCCATGCCACTAAAGAGAAACATCTATTTTTCTCTTATATTGATTGTATTCTTTAGAAACTGTTCATTACAATGTACAACGCACAACGCACAATGTACAATGTACATAATAGTTTAAAAGATGGTTACTGTATTGTATTCTAACTTAACCTAAAACTTAACTGTGTATAAAACATTTTTTTACTTTTGCTGAAATGTTTGATGTATATTATTGGAAAATCCCTTTTTAAAGGGAATTATTATAGGGTTCCCTCGACCAATTTTGGAATTTAGGAACCCCTGGTAAAGTAATAATGTTAATCAAGTAAAATTGAAGTTCCCTGCCTCAACAGAGATAATCTTCTCAAAAAAATTGACTAGTTGCGACATATCTTTAAATTTTTTTCGTCTAAAATTAAATATATCAGTAATTCAAGTAGGAAATAGTATAAAAGCCTAATATTAAAGAAAAATAAATAATAAAGAAAAATAAGAGAAAATACCAAAAAGGTTTGGCGGATAGCAATAAGACGAGGATTTAGATAACGACTAACTATATTTTTAATATAAAGTTACAAAGTAGAAAACATATATATATGACGTGGCTTCTAGAAACTCCCCTATTCTTCTCCCTGCCGCGAAAGGTTCTTCCTAGGAAAGACGACTTTCATAGCCGCCACAAAGGGGTCTTTCTAGGTTTCGGAGCATTTAGAACGGGTAGAAGGAAATTTTTCAAATAATATTATGCAGGGTGTAAATTTATAAGATTTGGAGAAAAAAATGTATGAAAAATTGTAAATCAAAAGGCAAATTTTTTTCGTCTTTTTGATACTTTATACCAAATTTCTCTTAATTCAGTGAAAACCCCACCCTCAAATTTCTAGAGAAAAAAAAGATTTTTAAAGGGGGGGATTTTTTCAAGAAAATATATACCCCTGAAATAATAAAGGTAACTAGCCTCGAGATTGTTAATCTTCATTCTCTCTTCAAGCATCCGTTTAGCCTTGTTCTGCTCTCGGTGCACCTACACTCAATCAATCAGTTTATCATATAGCAATCAATCAATCAATCAATCAATATATCAGATTCTTGTGAAGCCTATTATATAGTGCAAACACCTTGAATGTGTAAAAGTAACCCATCTCTAGTCCCAATATACTGACCTGTGATATATGAACCTGTAAAGATGACTGTCTCTAGTCCCAATATACTGACCTGTGATATATGAACCTGTAAAGACGACCGACTTGAGAGATGTTTACCACAGAACATACAACCAAATGATTCACCAGGGCTAGCATGCCGGTTCAGTATATGCACCTATAAACAACGGGATTTAATATATATATATAAAAATATATTTCAGGGCTGAAAAATTTTCCCTGAAAAAACTCAAAGCGTAAATTTAATTTATTGAATTACGAAATTAGCGTATTTTTACCTTTAGATTTCCTTTCTGACTTGGAGATACGTAACTACAGTGTGGACAGTGCCATCCTCTGGAATAAACAGATGAAAATTAGATATAAAGTTACAGTGCTTAGGATCCATTTAATTTTGATGCGGATCCGGATCCTGGATCTGCACTGGAAAAAATGGATCCGGATCAAAGTTATTTCTTTAAGGTTTACTGATTTTTTTGGACAAAAAATAATTTTCAAATTTTTTTGTTTTAAATTTTTCGCTTATATTTATCCTAAAACATGATGAACCATTCAGAAATGAGGAATTTTTTTATAATCCCTCTTATTTCAAAAGTTCAGATTTGGGTTTTAGGCGTAAACAGTTTTTTTTTGCAGTTTTTGGTTGTTAATATATTACCCCTTGGATCCGGATCCGTGAATCTGCATATTTTTGCGAATCCGGATCCAAAAAGCCAAAATCTTGAGGATCCGGATCCTAAGCACTGTAAAGTTACTTGGCGGGCACTTTGCACAAAGCTTAGATTTAATATTCAATTCGGGTATAGGGACAAAAAAGCAGTGCTTAGGATCCGGATCCGTTGGATCAGCAACATTTTTGCTTCCTGAATCCGGATTCGCAAAAATATGCGGATCCACGGATCCGAATCCAAGGGTCAAAATTACAAAAAAACTGCAAAAAAATCTTTTGCTCTCAAAACCATAACTGTAAAAAAAGAGATTATCAAATATTTCCTTATCTATATAAGGTTCATCAAGTCATCAAGTTTTAACATAAAAATAAGCGAAAAAAAGATATATAAATTAAAAATTTTCTTCTTTTATAAGATCAGTAAGTGTTATGAGTAATGTTCATGATCTGGATCCGGATTTTGATCCGGATCCTTTTTTTCCAGTGCGGATCCAGGATCCGGCTCCGCATACAAATCAAATCGATCCTAAGAACTGCTAATAGGTAGTGTCACTAATTGTTGGTGATTTCGGTGATACAGCTCTAAAAAAACCGAAAATACCGAAAGTACTAATTACGGAGACTTATTCCAAAAGGCAAAAAGACTAATTAAAAAGTAAATCGGGAGAAAAAAATCATGCGACAAATTTGATAAAAAACAATATCGTCATAGAAGATGAATGACGCAGTTGACCTAGGTGATTATCTTAAAGATTACCAGAAGAATATACAATAAACAACCAACCTGATGGTTTTCATAACAACAACATGTGCTAGTCCATCCTCGTTGCGTCCTCCTAGTCGATGCATCTCGTAGGGTAGTCCTCCTCCCGGGGGGTTGAACTTGACCGGGGTTTGAGGAGGTCCAGGACTACTCTTTCCTAGTGTTGGTAATTGTTTGAATCGTTATAATAAAAAAATAATAAAGGTTCAGAGATATCAAAACTGTAATATGTTGAAGTTTGCAACATCTTTAACCTTAACAGTGCAATATCAAAACTGTAATATGTTGAAGTTTGCAACATCTTTAACCTTAACAGTGCAATATCAAAACTGTAATATGTTGAAGTTTGCAACATCTTTAACCTTAACAGTGCAATATCAAAACTGTAATATGTTGAAGTTTGCAACATCTTTAACCTTAACAGTGCAATATCAAAACTGTAATATGTTGAAGTTTGCAACATCTTTAACCTTAACAGTGCAATATCAAAACTGTAATATGTTGAAGTTTGCAACATCTTTAACCTTAACAGTGCAATATCAAAACTGTAATATGTTGAAGTTTGCANTGATATTTTGATTATTACGTTTAGCGACCGAAACATTGATTTGAATTTTGATATTTTAATTTTAAAATTATGTTTCCTGGACAAGACAATCTATAAGATTACTGTGGGCACTATTGGAATCCTCATCATCTGAAATAATAATATTAAGTAAAAGATGTGTTAAAAAAATCTCCATTTTTATTTTGAGGTTTTTTTCTTTCTCTTTTTCGTGAGGATTTAGATACTGAACCTACGCCATTTTAAGGTTGAATTTGATTCAGCCCAGTTTTACACAATTGTTTTAATAAATTAAATCTCTATTTTAAAACTTGATTGACCAGACAATAAGAACTTAAGAGAGGCCGAAATATTACAGAACCGAAAATGAAGAATTAAAAAACGATTGGTATTTGAGTTTGAAGTGTAAACTGAGATTCAAAACTAAAAATTGATTTATTAACATCTTTTTATTTTCAAATCATTAATTAAGTTCCAATGATATTCTTCAATAACTACTAAATAGGGTTATTTAATATTATAAAAATTACCTCTCGACTTTCCCCAAAGTTTATTCCTTCCTTCCCCATTAAAAAATATAAGTAAGGGTCTTTTTTCTGAAAACATGTTGAACCCCTCAAAACATGTTGTTTAAGTCACGCTAAATAAATCCTAAGAATAATAAAAGAAAAAAAACGTTTGAATGATATTAAAGACATGATTTGCCTCCTATAGTTTTCCCATTTTTAACCCTGCCAATAGATAAGTCGAGTGGTGGGTTTCTGATGCCCCTATCAGGATCAGTCGCGTCAAATAAATAAATTATGTAAAATCACCTATTTGTGAGTTTGAGTTGTTGTGTAAGGCAGATTTTTCTGTTGAGTTGAATTCAGCTTTCACACTAAATAAAAAACAATAATAGAATAAAGAATTCTCACGTAAAAAACTAATTTCAAAACTGATTTGATAATTTTGGGGGTATATATTTTAAAAACTACGGAGAGGGGAAATTATTTCCGAGAATTTTTTGGGATATTTAAAAAAAAATGGACTTCAATTAGCAAGTATTTAATCCGCTTTTTTATTTAATATTTATTAATGTCCCCCAAAACACAGAGAAAAAATTATCAAAAAAATGTTAAAATATAACTATATATATACCTAAGGGTGTGTTCCTGTTCCTGCTCCTGATCTTGATCTTGATCCTGATCCTGCTCTTGTTCCTGATCCTGATCTTGTTCTTCTTGTTCCTCTGGTTCTGTGGGACTTGAAGGTTCTTGTAGTTCCGGAGTAACAACAACTAAACACATTAAAATTATAATCATTTTTTTATCTCTGCGTTATTTTCTTTGTCATATTAATAATTTTCGAACATTCACTTTTTTATTTAAGAAGAGGCAATGTTATTTTTTGGGCCCTGCCAGCGTAAAATGTCACTCGAAGAGTGGTAAAGCTGGTAAATAATACCTGGAGATTCTGTCCTCTGCTTTTTCGAGGCTGGTGCAGCACTTTCCTCTTCAGGTTCAACGGGGACCTGCAATATACAGATCATGTCTCGATTAATGTCGTCTTACTTTTTAAATGATTCTAATTTTAACTTTTATATCTTGTTCATGTTGAAACTATACAATAAATGTATATTATATCTAAAAACTTGATGTTCACGCCCAACAAATAATGGCACGGGTATATTATAACCCGGGGCATTATTATAACCGGTAAATTATTATGCGATAGAATCAACTGAAATCTCTTGAACCAACTTTAATCGTTAAACCCTGTAAGTGTACATTGTACAACAAAGAATAAAAGTCATGACTTAAACTTAACAAAATCTAAAAGTTACCTCCGCGAAGTAACACAAAACAAGATAAATGGGTCAGAATTTAAGAGGTTATTTTTATTAACGGAATTTACAACGTAATTAACAAATCATTTCATAAATAGGTCAAAGCACAATTGGCTTAAATTCATCCAAAAATGTATAACTTTTCGTAATCTTAATCTTATTCATATCAGATTTTGGAAGATACTAATTGCTACCAGAGCTGGGAACTTTTGTATTGTGGATATCGAGATTAATGCATGATCTCAATTCTTATGTTAATCTGAAGATTAATTTGAACATTATTCGATATCCCGCATGGTAATCCTACCCTCAAGCTATAACTGAAATGAAGAGGTGAAGTATTGACCCCAAATTAAAAGTGCCCCCAATGGAAATCAAGGTCAAGAGATCGAGATTATGGGTATCCAACCTAAAGTTCCCAATTCAGATCATCAAATGAATAACTATTTATGTCTTCATAACAGGTTGAAATAAATATATGAGTGAATATTACAATGCCGAAGATTCCCAAAACCTTGTTGGGTCCTAAAGCATGAACAGCGAAGCGAGGGATGCTTGGGATCCAACAAAAGGTCGAAGGAAGCTAAGGCAATGTAATATTCCCTACAAGGGTTATTGCATCCTTATTGCCTCGCGTGAATGAAGAGATATGCAATTTTTCAACTTTAAAACAAATTCTTCTAAACAAAATAAAACATTTGAATTTGTATACAAATCATCCTATTTCAGGTTTTAAAAACTGTCAAATTTATTTAGTTTTGTAACCCATATTTTGAGTTCAGAAATAAAATCTAATTCCTGTTTTCGGAGTTGTATATCTAACATTGCGAACCTGGTTTTTAGGGTTGCAATAAAAATACCAGGGATTCAATCAGAGCTTAGGATCCGGATCCGCAAGATTTTGGCTTCCTGGATCCGCATCCGCAAAAATATGCGTATCCACGGATCCGGATCCAAGGGGTAAAATATCAACTAAAAACTGTAAAAAAAACTTTTTTACTCCTAAAACTCAAATCTGAACTTTTGAAAAAAAGAGATTATAAAATTTACTCATCTAGTTTTAAGATAAAAATAAGCGAAAAAAATAAAACAAAAAATTAAAAAATTATTTTTTGTTAAAATAATTCAGTAAATCTTAAAGAAATGACCTGGATCCGGATCCGGATCCGCATCAAAATTAAATGGATTCTAAGAACTGGATTTAATAGTGTCACAATTTAGTTTAAAAGTTAGAAAAAAATATTACTAGTGAGGTAAATATTGAACCTTTTTAGTCTTCCGCCCTTCATCACGGGGTAGGGCGGAGGCAAGAGCACAGGACTCCGCCTTTCCGTCATTCGTTCCCTTCAACAAAATATTAATTAATAAAAACTTACTTTCTTTTACTGGAAATCAACAATTAACTATTACTTTTAAATTCTTTGATGATAAAAAATTGATTGTTCAGAAAATTCATAAAAATTCTGCTCATTAAAAATAAAAATGCGAAAAATATTAATTGATTTTTAGATTTTTAATTTTCTATAGAACTGCGGCAAGGCAAATTATCTATATGATAAAGCTCTTCGCTCATATATATATATATGAATTTATGATATTTGGATTATTACGTTTAGCGACCAAATCATTGATTTGAATTTTTGATATTTGGATTATTACGTTTAGCGACCAAATCATTGATTTGAATTTAATCGTTCTCTAGGAATATACCCTTAATTTAAACTATTTTCAACACAAATTAGTAACACTTTTTTTATTAATGCAGGGTAAGGTAAGTTTTTAAGTTTTCTGGGCCCAGCACCGTCGTGGCTAGGACAAGGTAGGGGGCCGAGCGCTGAGACTACGACAATCAAACATACAGGAGGGTTGAACCTAGATGGAATTTAGAAAAACTGTAATCACCTGAAGAGTGGACTGCAGGCTGACAATACAAGTCGATGCGCCTTAGCGATACTGTCGCCACATACCAAGGATATGTCGAAAAAATCATCTTCGTCGCGTATTTTTGAAACCTCAGCCGTCAAACTTGAATGGTAATCATTCCACTTTAAACAAAATTGATCAGAACCCATTTTTTAAGATTCACCAATGACTGGTGTGCACGATGTGATGTAAGTTTAATACATTGTTACAAAAATCTTTCTTTTTGTCTACATTAGTCTGTGATCTGTAAAATTGAAAACGAAGATAAAACATCTGTTTTTGAACAACAAACACAATTATTTTAATCACTATTCCAGCACTTTAACGTTAAACAATTACAAACTCTAAAAATCCGGGAAATTTGGTTAAAATCCGTGGAATAAATTTAGTGAAAGTTTGCCAATTAATTATAATGAATTGAGCGGCTTGCTTGCCCAGCCCAAAAACAAAGAATTGGTTTGGTTTGGCACCCAAACCCCAATATATAAAATCATATTTCAGGGGTGTCATATTTTTAAATTTTCAAAAACTTTTTTTTCGTGAAAAACTTGTATTTTGCAGTTTAAAACATTTTTTCAAATTAAAAATACTTAATTAAAAATATTGATTATGTTAATTAAGATTTAACAAAGACGACATATTCTGTACTTTAGGGTTTACTGAAAATTGGGTTTATCATACCGTCTAAATTTGAAGCTTGTGCACACTTTTGTTTAACGTATAAAAATGGATCTTTGATAATAATAAGCTCTTTTATAATTTTTTTTTCTTGCACTGTGCGACAAAAAAGTTTTTTTAAAAAAGTTTTAATTCATTAAAGACGACTTTAAAAGTAAACAATAAAAATATCTGTATGTTTCAGCGGTCTCTGCGCTCCTCTACATCTGCCATTAAAATGTTCTGGCATTTAGCCGATCATTTATACAAACCAACTTTCCAGTTAAATAATTAAACCTTGCATTTTTATGATAAGTAATATTATAAATTGTGGATTTAAGTTCATTAATTTCAATGAAAATGATTTGATTGTGACATTTAAAGTAACAGAAATTAAAATTGAAAGTTTAGGTGAATGGATTTAAAATGTATTTGACTCCGGTACATTGTATTGAGAATGGAAAGAATGATATTCTTGTTCAAAGTATGGAGATATTGAACCAAGAATGGCCAAGATCTGAGACATTAAGGTATTTGTCGACCTATCGAACCAATTCTAGTGCAAAAGGCCGATTGACGTTTAGGCCTGTCCTAGAGAATGATTTTTGGACCCCGCCCCCCCAGGCGCGCACCTAAACATTTGGTTAGGGGGGAGGGGGCTAAGAGTAAATAGTTTTGGCCCCCCTAAACATTTATAGGGGGGGCAAGGAAATTGTTTGTGATATTTAAACAATAAAAAACTAACATTACCAACCGGATATTCAGTAAGTCAACACATCTGATATGAATTAAAAAAAGAAATCTATTCTGGTATAAATCACAAAAATAATTAAGTTTTTAAACGGTGACACAATATCCCTTTCGAGTTTGCATGTTATTCCAAAAATAATATCTTATTATGCACCTATACAGCTCTCAGTCTTAGTTGACCTTCATAGCTATACACTTGAGGACAGTACATACATTACCTACAGGTATTTATGTACAATTGGGTTTCCAATGCAATTTTTTATTTACGGAAATAACTCGAACATATATCTCTAATAAATCTTACTTTTTATACTTATACTTACTATCTCGGAAAACGTCCCAGAAACCCAAAATTACGGAGTCGTTTGCATCCTTTTCACAATCCAAAAATTTTTCATCTTTTTTTCATTTTTTTCATCTTTTATATAGATGAGTGGTTAGGTAGATTCCATTTACTCAATGAATCTTATATTGGTCTTGAATTGAGGAAATCATTTAATTAAATGCAATTCAAAGGAATTGAGTCCAATTTTCTACTCCTTATATCTTTGTAGCCTGAATGTGTAAACTTTATTTATTCCAAACTCAAATTATTTCATCTAAAATAATTCATAGTTTGAAATATCTAAGGTCATCGACATTGGGGTTGCAAAGATATAAGAATTAGAAAATCAAAGTTTGTGTCAAAGACTCAATTCCTTTGAGTTGCATTTAATTAAAAGGTTTTCCATTTTTGTTTAAATCATGATTGCTGTCGGGTCATGTCACTTTAGTACAAACAACCAACCAGGCATATACCATGTCTCACATTTAATTTGTTGTCAAGTTAGCTTTTAGTTTGGAAACACAAAATCTATTTTGGTATTAAACAAGTGTAAATGATTTGATCCATCAAGCGTTGAAAAGTGTTTCCAGCATTACGTAATCCAAAAGGCATCCTCAGGAACTCGAACATCCCGAAGGGGGTGATGATGGCAGTTTTCTGGATGTCCATATCTTCGACCGGTACCTGATAATATCCCTTCTGAAGATCTAATTTGGAGAAAACAGTTGAACCACTAACTCGTGAGGAAAAATCGGCGATGTTGGGGAGTGGATAACGGTCAGGAACAGTGGCGGTGTTCAGACGGCGGTAATCGCCTCAAGGTCTCCAACCTCCATCCTTCTTCTTGACCATGTGTAGTGGAGAGGCCCAAGGAGAAGTAGAACGGCGGATAATTCCAGACTTTTCCATGGCGGAGAATTCTGCTTTGGCTGCAGCAAGTTTAACAGGACCCAGTCTGCGAGCTTTTGCAAAAATCGGCGGGCCAGGGTTGGTGAGAATGTGATGACGAACCTTATGACGTGGTGGAGAGGCAGTGAAACCATCGGATTGAAGAACGTCAGGAAATTCCTCAAGGAGCTCTGACACGCACTTAGGAGTGGAGAGAAAAGCTGCTTGCATCGGCGCGGTTGCATCAACGGGAGAAGAGGAAACAACAATCTTAGAACCATTAGAATAGCTGTTGGAGAATACTGTTTTGCTCCTCAAGTTTACGCTCAGATCATGATGTTGAAGAAAATCTGCTCCAAGGATTGGAACAGAAACTAGAGCTAGCTGGAAAGTCCAGGAACAATTCCATGTTCCAAACCGTAAAGGAATAATCCTGGAACCAGAACACGTTAAAGTTGACCCATCAGCTGTGAGTAACTGAACACCAGATGTTGAAGATGTGCTTGTAGAAGGAAAAACTGAGATTGAGGCCCCCGTGTCGACTAGAAAGCGACGGTTGGAGAGATTATCATGGAGATAGATGAGAGCAGAACTCGTTGAACCGGCAGGCAGGGAAGAAACATCCTCCTGCCGGCGCTCTAGTTTCCCGACCAGGCACAGGGAGCTTGACAACTTATGGCCTTGGAACCGAACTTGGCATGGTACCAGCAAAAGGATGGTGAAGCTGAATGGCGAGAAGGAGCTGCAGGAGTCTGAGAACGGCGGGAAACTGGACTAGAAGTTCTCCGAGAATTGCTGATTACGGCGGTTCTGTCTAGAAGGAGGAGTACTGACAGCATGCACTGAATCCAAAGCGTTACCGATGAATTAGAAGACAAACTACTCCGGTAAATCTCGTCTGCACGTTGAGAGAGAACAGCTATATCGGCGGTTTTATCGTGAACTAAATGAGATCTGACATCAGCTGGAAGTTGCCTCAAAAACGCGTACCGCAGGAACAAACACTCCTGATATTCTGAAGGAAGGAGAGCCCTCATCCTGGATAAGAGAGCTGAAGGGAGCATATCTCCAGACAGAGGAAGTGACATGATCGATTCACAACGTGCATAGTCCGTCAGAGAATGTGTCTGTAAAAGACGAGACCGCAAAACACCATAAGGATCAGCAGTAGGCGGGCTCCTTATTATATCCACAACATTATCTATCTCGTTCTGTGGTAGAGACGCAACCACATGATGGAACTTGGTGGTGCTGCTGGTGATGTTTTTGAGGTGGAACTGGGACTCAGCGTTGATGAACCAGGATTCGCAGCTGTCAGGCCAGAAAACAGGCAGTTTCAGAGCAACTGCATAGAGATGGCTGGGCGGAGAGGAATCCACCTGGCTTGATGCGCCTGTGGTCAAAGCTGGATCTCCAGGCATCGTGACGCTGAAAAAGAAAACACTGTCGAGTTAGGTTTTCGCTTACTGTGATAGCCTGTGGAGAAAACAGGGAGGCTGGTTCACTTTTCAGCCGAAAATAACACTAGCGAGCAAAAACAGAACACTAACTCAAAACACTGAGTTTTAGATTATTTGAGTTTATAGGTGGAAAAATACAACGCGGTGGGTTGTTTAACTTGGACTTAAAACAAGGAATGTATTCAATAGTCCGGGGTCACCAATTTGGCGGATAGCAGTAAGACAAGGATTTGATAACGACTAACTATATTTTAAATATAAAGTTACAAAGTTAGAAAAATATATATGTTTTTGAAATCCCATCGTGGCTTCTGGAAACTCCCCTATTTTCTCCTTGCCGCGAGAAGTTCTCTAAGGAAAGACGACTTTCATAGCCACCACACCTTTTGGTGGCAGGATTCCCAGAAGGATTTGAAAACTCATTACAATTGTATCTTATTTTCGGATTACCATATCTTTGCAACCTGATGTCGTTGACCTTTGATATTTTAAACAATGAATTCAATCCGTTAAATCAAAAAGTTTTATTTTGAATTGTCTAATTTTACTGATTGTATACAATTAGGGATTATAATATTAGATTACTGATTCACTTAAGGATCTAGATGGCAAATTATGCATTGAATGGTCCAATGAACAAGAGACATAACAATTGAGCAGTGTATTTAAATAGGCCAATTTTATTTTAATAAGCAATTTAATAAGTTACTTGTACTACTGCACTGGCAGCTTTTTGTTTCTTTGACAGCAGCATGGCATCTAATTGTAGTAAATGCCTACTTCATATCAATTTCTCGAAATGTATCTATCCAGGTACAACTCAGTGACTGTCAATGTCAACACACTGCTACAACCCTGTGAACTATCAACGCCAGTATTACTGGGCGCGATCTCATTCATAGCTATTGGTGTCAATATGGACACTACAGCAAGTAATTGATCAATATCTCAAACAGGACACAATTCACGCGGCTGCAAAACCCGTGATCTATCAACGCCAGTACTACTGGGCGCGATCTCGTTAGCTATCGTTGTCAATACGGACACTAGCAAGTAATTGATCAATATC